TGTTCGTTCTTCGAGTACCAAATGGTAAAGCAAAAGACCAGATTTTGTCGTCCAAAGTACGTATTATATTTCGGGACAAAATCGTGGGTAGAGGTGAATGCTTAGCTAGCTAGTAATCGTGTACGCACGTGACACGACGGAGCACCAAATGGCGGGGATGCTTGACCGTAAGCCTTCAGCTAAACAAGTCGACTTAAACAGTGATGGTCAGCATCCAATGTTGAGTGATGATTGCTGTGGTTAATAATTTTGGGGAATTATTTACCGCTACAACTGCAATGTTTTTGATCGCCAATAGTGGAGATGAATTTCTTCTGAAATTTCCATTTACCTGAAACAGTACAGATGCAGTGTCACGACTGAATGTCTAGGTTGCATTGTATGCCATTGTTATCCTCATCAACACAACAGGTCTGCGTATCTTACAATATTTTGTGTTTCTCTATGTTGTTAACACTGCATAGTTGCTTAGAGTTTAGGCATGTTCAGCTTATATTTGATGACTTCAGATTCCTAAATATGAGAATGTAATTTCTGTGGGATTCAGAAAACTATGCGCACATTACTGAGATTGTGGATCAATTTCTAAGCTACATATTTGCAATACCTTATTTAACGTAGACGTATTTAGTGTGAAATTGACGATAGGATGACGTCTCAACAGTATGGGTGTTTCAGAGTTTATCTTGAAATCTGCGTGTAATCCTCTAATGCTGGACAACTTATGAGGTCTACTTATTCATACAGCGTCAATATAAAGACCAGCTGTGGACAGCAAATGCTTTTAATTGTGTGAGAACTTTACTTAGTATTATTAGAATCAGTGTATGCTAACATATACAATTATCTTTCATAACTTCATATTTTAGGCATATGGAGGTTGTGGAATGTGAAATCAGTGGTCAAACTAACGCTAATACCCTTCATCAAAATTTTCTCATGTAAACTAAGAAAATGTTTAATATACTCTTCATTTCTACTTCTTCGTAATATGTGAATTTTGATTAATGCATAATAAGCCTAGTGGAATGGGGATTAACTACAGTATTATGAGACTTACTTTAATCATTCATAGGATTTTGCGCCTGTTTCTATACAATAGCACATTGTAAAGACTAAGTAGGATTTAGCAAGTTGAATAATAATTCTGTAATGTTCGTTACGCTGAAGTCGCCTTATTTAGCCAGTTGCAGACTTTACGTGGCGACGAGCTGAGAAACAATTTTTACTTATCTTTGATATGCTGTTGAATCATGTGATGTTATCTAATATCCATCATTTCTATGATCAGCAACTGCAGTGTTTGAATATCTACTCTGTTGAGGATACCGATGATCTAACTATTTCAGTGTCTGTCAGCTCCCAGCTAGACAGTCCTAAATTGAACAGCTTTCTATCAGGAATTAGCAAATGGTCTTCGTTTAATGGCCTTAAACTAAATCCTTCCAAATGTCAAGCAGTTAATTTCAGTTTCAGATGTAAAAGAAAGTTAAGTGAAGCTGTTAATTCCCATTATCGTCGTATAACTGATGATAGTGATATAGAAATTAAGTCGGACGTAAAGTATCTTGGATTAATTCTTTCTTCTGACCAATCCTGGTCTTCCCACGTCTTAGCGATTTCTAAAATAATATTTCGTCTGACTGTTCACATTAAGAAGTTAAGGCACTCAAGCATAACTTATCCCCTCCTCTTACAGTTTGTCAGTTCGTGAATCTTACCTATACTTGACCTGTTCTTCTTGCTTTAATCATGACAGTATCGTGTTTCGCAGAACTCATCACACAGCGTACCAGCCTTAAATGTATACCACATGCAAGTATAATGCTTATGAGCTGGGTATGCAAATCAAAGTAAACGTTTGTACGGTACATTCATTATTTATAAGACAAACTAGTATGTAAGAACTGCGATTTGACCAGTTATACAACGTTTAATATATTTAGACACAATTAACCTACGCTGCTTACTCCTATGACGTATTACCTAAAGCTACGTAGTTACCTTGAAGTGGTTTCCGCTGAAGGTAGTCTCCTTTGCTACTGCAACTTAACGTTATCTTTGAATAAAAAAGCAAAAGTGGAAATTCTGAGAACTTTACTGATAAAAAGATCGTGAAGTGAATATACCTTATTCTCCACAAAAGCGTTTAGAGGTATTCATCCTATCACCTCAAATGACTCACTATTTGCAGTCACTTAAAAAGTAAGAATAAATTTACCGAAGACAGTGTGCTCATGACTTCTAGATATCATAATGTACCATGAGGGAGAACCTATATCCATAGGGTTTTAACAGTTAGGAGCGCGATATTAATCCGAAACACGACTACGGTTCTCAATCACAGAACATCCTACTTTGCAACCCAATCTTCTAATCGTAATAACAGATGTCTCGCTAAGAAAAAGAAAAACAATGATTTTAGGAAAATTTATTTAGTCTTCTTAAAGATCATGGTCATCCGTATTTACATAGAAATCACAAACTACCAAAAATAGGAATTTCATTATTTGAAATGAAACAAGCAATCTGTATTCAGGCAATATTTTCACCCTGAATAATAATCAGCTTGTTGTAACCACCGATTGTAGACCACAACCCGAAACGTTACTCTTGCGAATTGAAGTCTTACCTTTAACTGGGATAGTTCATACACTCGGGTGACAATAAACGTTATAGTGATATATTATCGCGGAATGTATCGGTTATCGTGTTCACGCCTATAGAGGCGTTATAAGCGTTTACTTTTGTAAAAGTAGATAATATATAACTGGTTTCAGGCTTCTATAACCGAAAAAGCAACATTTTGCAGTATTGTGTTCGTATTAATGGAAGAACCTGTCATGATATCGCAGAGTATGTATTACTTCAATACCTCATCGTATATAAGAAATTTAGCAAAAAAGACTATTCTTCGCGTTTTAGAGCCTTAATGGTCTATTATTTGCTAGGTTTTTGAGGAAATATAGGTTGAAAATTAGGTGTATAAAAGGGTTGTTTTCATAGCAGTTATTCTATGATAACGAGACATTTGAAGGAGAACTAGCCCACAGACACAAGTGAAATATACGTTTTGAGGATACCAAACACTTTTTTATCATCATCCGTGATGATTGAAATATTCCATAACACATCGAAGACAGTATGCGATGAATGAGGCAATTTGCTGAATTTCCTGGTGATTTTATCCATTTCTGTGAAGTTCCTAGTTAAAATGGCTCAGTTGAAGATGTGATACTAGTTTAATTTACATTGTCACATAGAAATTCGGGAGACCGTAATTGCTGAGTGCATTACATTGCATCAGATTATCTCGATATCATTGTGCATTTGTGCCAGAAGAATAGTATAGATGGTGCTTCCACAATGCCAGACTGCTTCAAATTGGAATCACCTTTCTGTAGAATAGTAGCTCGCAGGTATGTCCTACAACTACTAAACGTGTTACTTCAGTTATATCAGTCTTAATAATTTTTCATGTTCACATCACTAACATATTCTGAGATGCTTAATGAATTACTTGTGACTATGAATGACATGCAAGGTGTACTTATGGCTCATGTTTATGAAGCATTTATTATGAAACAAGTTATCTGTAGGGATTTTGTGATGTTTAAGTTACAATGCTTGTGTGTATGTAGTTACTGCATGCTATTGTACTTGAAGGGACAGTTGTTGAAAGTGAAGATATGATAAACTTTTCTCTAAAGTCACTATGAATACTGCAAACTGTTGCTAAGAAACAGCATCAAAGGAATAAGTTCCGAATAGCTAGAAAACACTACTGCAGTTTCTCAGGATGCTGTTCTCCTCCTGGAATACCTTTTAATTGTGTGAGGGAATAGCACTTACCGATATATATGCAGTGTTCATTGTGAAGGGCCCGGAGTTTAACTTTTATTGTAATCTGTTGTAATTGCTTGTACAATAAATGAACAATCTAAGCTTTTGAAAAAGTTTTAATTTACGATACTTCACGATTGTAATTTATAGCCTAAGTTATTGTACCTGTAGAGATGTCATGCATTCCTTGTAAACACCCATTTATACAGTATATTAAGTTATTATTTGCTTGGTGCTATACTTTAGAAGAAGAACAATGTATGTCACAGTGAAAACCGCAGAAGAATGCTGTCACGACCAAAGAATGAGAAAGGAGAATGAACCTTTTTTCAGCAAAGGTAGGAGAATATAAAGCGTTTCACTTTTACATTACTTATTTCTAACTTCAACGATTTAAAAATTATACTCTATTCACTTACTTGTAGATGTTCGGTCAAGTCAGTCAACCAGGTCACAGCAATTACGCATCCCCGCAGTAATTACAAAAAACAATTGTGTGAAGACATTCGCTTAATATTTTTTATGAAATATATTTAACATCCTGCTTACCATACTTTTCTTATTATATCTCAGTGAAACTAAATTTGTCATTATGACGAGATGTAGGCCTGAGAAACTAATTGTAGGCATCATTCAACGTCGGCGAAATCGTACTAACATTGCTACAGCCCAACCTATTAAATTATTCCTCTCGTGTAGACTTCAGTTTACAATGTATGTTAACACCCGTAGTCATATGGGTTGACATCTTGCTTTAAGTGAAATAGTAGTAATACAGTACTTTTGATTACACTTAACTTCATACGAAATCGAAGTCAACTGCAGGGCCCTAAGTTCTATTCTTATTTGTCAAACACTGAAGTTAGGTATTTTTGTCATTAGTCCCTACAGATTTATCTATGACTAGGAGACGTAATGTCAGATTTTTTTCGACGTGACTGAAGTACTTATAATTCACGACCTATATCGATGGAAAGTGTTCCTACAGAATAGCACTTACGTATAGTAAGGAATTCATATCAAAAAAAAAAAAAAACTAGCATGCCGTACTCCCAACGCGAACACCCAAACAGAAAGACAACAATCTTAATACGAAAAGTTTATTCTTATTGTAATACGAAAGTATTTAATTTACACATCAAGAACATTGTTGATTTCAGCGACTACTTCTCCAGCGAACTCTGCGGCAAACGTCCGTCCATATTTGTCACAAATTCTCGTCAGGCCCGCATTAATAAGCCTCCCATTGGTTACGTATAAGTCACATTGATTTCGCGGCACAATTGCTGACGTGCTTGGAATTGCGTACGAGTGGCGAGACCATGTCCATCGTTTACACTTCTGCAGCACATGATTAACTACAAAAGGTGGAACGGTAAACGGAAATAGAATTATGCACACAATATTAAAGGATAAATAATGACAGTGCTTACGTCCTGTTTTCAGTTAAGACAAACCCTTATGAAATATATATACATTTTAGTATCTACGAATTTCAGTCAGTTAGGAGTAGGTTAATATGCATTAACTATGGAGACATAAAATAGGGAATACTTCAGGTGGCAACCTAGTATATCTTACGTGTAAATGAATATACAAGTTTCAAAAAAGGGTATTTTACCTGTGAAACACGCCGTTTTTAAATGCACCATCAGCAAGTGTCGACAGGGATACCGACAAGTCTGGAACGTCATACAAGTACATGTGCATGCGCGCAGATCCACCTCTACTTGTCTCCCATTGTCATCCAAGAAGATATAATCAAAAGCTTCAAACTGAAAAGAAGTCCATCGTCGCTTTGCATAATCAGCGATCACTTTCTTCGCAGTGTATGGCGTCAGCTGGCGTAAAATTGGTATTATGCGTTCGGAACATGAATACTTGAGGGAACGCGACTGAGCAATCATGGACTCCTGCTCTATTCTAGAATTACTTAGTTGAAACCATTTGTAAACCTTCAGCATGCTTTTATGCAGACTATCTGATCTAAGCAAGTACCGCTTCATCTGCTTGTGAGAACTTTCTACTCGATTGTTGGTATCATTACCCAAAGTCAGTACATGTTCCCTGAAAGCTGCTGCCCACAAGTGTCGTCGACTCATCCAACGACGTTGTAAATACTGACTAACACCAACATCCAATCTGCTTATAACTCTGAAATAGAAGTTAAATCTGGAAAAATGAAAATATTAAAGGCATTACTCAGATCTCCTTTTACACTGAACTAAGCGACATAAGTAGTTCTTCACAATGGGATTCCGCGTCTAAAATTGAAATTTTAATTATGCTTTTAAATAGTTTACTTTACTACAAAATGCACGACAAACATGAAAAGAACAAAGAACAGTGTGCGCTTCTCTGTGTGTTAACTTCACTGCTCCTATTTCGGCTTGCGCACAGTCCATAATGAATGTTTCTGTTTTAGAGGTGTCTTCCATTATTCTACGAAACGAGTCCAAAATCCAAACAACATCACGCTTGAATTCCTTTCGCGTCCAAGCAAATAGAACCGGTCTCCCACGACCAAAATTATTCGTTACAACTAACTGAAACAAAGAATACCTGCATGTTGATTAATTAATTAATAAACTTACTTCCCTTTATTTGTATTATATGTAGAATCGATGCCAACAACCTCCGGAAACTGTTTATACAAATCTATTTGCTCACAAGTAGAAAAACAGACTCTCATTAGTGAATTCATTATCGGTTCATCTGAATAATACTCCAATAACTTCCCACGGGACTTAAGGAATTCAAAAATGTCATAACGGCTCGATATACCTGAAGTAATTTACATTTACATTAATGTTACCTTTATTAACTGAAGCTTTCAGATTTCTAACGTCATTAAGAGTTATGTCCTTGTGGAATGTTTCCTTAACATGCATAATTATTTCATCTGATGAGTGTGATTGGTGAAGAAGTAGTTCTACATTTTCTTTCTCTTCCGCTGACAGTCATCTAGACCATGGATCATTCTGCATATACACCCTGATGCATGGATGGTTGTGGACCATTCTGTGGGATGTTATCACGTATTCACTGTAACGCAAAATTACGCGAAATGCAGACAGACAGTTGCAACATTTAGACCTTAAACATACATAATATCATAATACACTTCCTCTTACGACTTGTTTCGCAATTTCAGGCCAGCTTTTCCACGGTTCACGCCAAAAGTGCATTTAAAATAAACGTAAGCGTACTTATATCTGTCGTCCCCTGTTGTTTTGCTTTGAATATGCACATAGTGAGTGCAGGACAACTACATTGTTAGCACTAAATGACTTCCTCACTTGTTGAAATTCTCCTAAGGAATTCTCAAATTCCTCCCAACTAAAGAAACGCCTTCCCAGCATAATTTCATCGAAAATTCCACTGACGTCAGCAGTACTTTCACCCGCATTGCCTACCTGCAATAAACTAAAAAGGCGTTGTCAATTAGCATCCATCTGTGTCGCAATATCCATCAATAAAATGCTACATGTATAACCTAAAATCGAGAAAAGCCCTAGAACTCACGGATTCCTTGACATCGCCAGCAACCGATAGGCCAACAAACCGAGTGTATGATAAACCAAGCCTGGTACATGCACAAAATAAGTAAAAGAAAACGTTAGAATACCAACATTTTACATTTATATTCATCAAACATGCTTGCAAACAACGCATGCCGCAACCACGCAAACCTGCACACGGCATGACCTACCGAGGACAAATTTAATGTCAAACTCTCCGCCACTGTACTAGCCAATCAAAGCTGAGAAAGCCCTTAAGCGCGTAAGATATAACACTCTATAACGTATATTCTCACTCCATACACTCACCAGATCACCATGTTATCCGCTTTTCAAGTCGTTTTGCAACACACTGAATGGATGTTAACACTAGCATTGCTACAGGCGGTCCTAGTTCATGTATTTGGATCTAGTACATTGGGAATTATTAAATACAGGTAACACTTACCAGTAGCGGTACGTCCAACGTTTGCGTTACATTTTTGCGTGATTCGTTACATAAAATTTATCTTGTTGTAATCCTTGCACAAGTACTCTACTACTTCCATACCTATAACTATTAACTCTCATATCAAATAGTTATGGTTAACCAAAGTAAAAAGCAGCGAACTCAATCCCCTGTAAAGCTGATGACTAATTTTAAGTCGTTGATTGCTACATCAAGCAACACACTCCCTACAAATGGTTATAGTGAGCCACAAAACTCACTTGTGTGTCGTAAGCGTCGAGCTGAAACTGAGGATAAAACTATACTGACAGCTAGTATTAGCACTACTCCCAAAAATTCAGTACCCTCTGCTCATACAGAAACCCTCCCTTCACCTTATGTACTTATCGAAAAGCTCCAGCCTTCAAGCTCTGTTTCAGAACTATCTTCTGAAATAGAACTCCTAAAGTTGTCTATAAGAGAACTTAAGGCCGAGTTAAGGGAAATAAAAAACAAGTCAGTAAATCCAGGAATTTCCGATACCAATACCAAAATATCCAAATTATCAGATCAGATCAGCGATATCAGATCGCAGGTCTGTGAACTGACACCTTTAACTATCCTCATGAGAACTGTAGACCTTAACAAACTTGACACGGAATCGGTATCTAAGGTGGATAACCTCATTAACTTTGTTACTACAGAAGTAACAAAACGACTCGACGCTAAACTAAATGCTGTTGTCTACAACGTTCCGGACAATGAGGCACTAAAAAAGGTACAGCGCATCTTACTTAGTGAGGCGAAAATGCCCAACTCCAAGACTAAGTGCTACAGGCTGAAGAAGAGTCAACATGACAAGTGTTGTCCTATTCGTTTTCAGTTCGAAACACCGGCTGAGGCCAGAAAATTTACCCACTCCCAACACACCCTATCGCGAGCCAGAAATTACAAACTAATAAAGGTTGCGGTGGACAAGACCGTCATAGAAAGGCGCGTATATAATTATCACACTGAGTCTAATTGTGGAATAAACAATAGGACATTGCAAGCAGCAATTATACCCAACCCTATGAGAGACACCGTAGAATCCACCGCACCACCCCTCTCTAACCACACAAAATTATCTTCTCAGAGAGCGACACCAACCGAAAGGCCGCTAAATTCTAATCAAATAGCCAATAAAACTATGCCACCTATCACCGTAGATTTAGACATGTCACTAAATAATCCAAGAAAAAAAGTCAAAATCCCCCGAAAGTTGACCCTGTCCTCTCCTAGCCATAAGTCCATTGGTAAAAAAGAGAAGAATATGACCCCAAATCATGCCAACAACAACAATGGCAGTATAAGTAAGCCCAAATTCCCCACGGTCAATAGTATTGGCACCCACAACGTGTGAAATAGCACCATGGCCCACACTGATAACCAACGCCAAAACAATGCCACCCTCGAGAGTACAAGTGACAATAGTCAGAACTCGACCACCAACAACTCAGGGCATTCACAGTATGGCACGCAAATAAATTTTGATCGGATATACGGTACAAGTCTGCTGGGAACTAACCCACAAAGCAGTACATACGAAACCCTTACAAGGACACCACTAGTACCTAACAATAGGCGGAATAATAGACCATGGTCTTCACAAGGTCCCAATCATTTTTTATCCCCTGCGTCCCTGTCAGCGTTGAAGAAACAGCTGGTAGGGATGCTAACACTCCTAAACCGCTAGTGCTGGCTCCCCCTTTGCATGAATGTAGGAACAGTCTAGTTCGCCCGCATCCACTAAGCACACTTGGTACATGCACAGGTTTAGGTCAAATAAAGATCCCTACCCCCGTTTCTAGCTTAACTAAAAATAAAAATGCCTTAGTCTATAGCACATCCAGTACTCCAACGCTCAATTCTTCACCGAAAACAGCACACACCAACTCGATAGACATAGGTGAACATGATGCTGAAACTCCTCTTAACATAGGGTCGTCATGCCAAACAGTACTATTGGGTGCTGAACCACATTCGGGGCTGATTAACGAACTTAAGTACTTCAAATGCTATTTCAAATCTCATCTTTACCTAATCCTCATAAATGCTAGATCCGTTCTAAATAAACTACCGATGCTCAGAGCACTCACAGTAATATACAAACCCCCTATAATTGTCATCACAGAATCCTGGTGTAACTCGAACATACTGGATGAAGAGATAAGCTTAGATAACTATACACACTTTCGGTGTGACAGGGAAGGTGGTAAGGGAGGGGGTTGTCTTATGTACTTTCTGAATGCACTTACTGTATCACAGCTAGAAAGTAGTACACTTAACTTGCCTGAGACTTTATGGGTTAACTTACACTTAAATAACGCAATGGTATTAATTGGATGCACCTACAGAGCACCTGGCACCTTTAGTAATTACGAGACCCAACTTATTAATACTCTAGAACAATTATCCACCCTCCACTACGATCATAAGATCCTATGTGGAGACTTTAACTTACCAGAAATCAACTGGGAAATACCCACAGGTCCAACTAAACTTGATAAGTTCTTAGGCACACTGGATATACTTGGCTGGAAGCAGACTGTCGCAACCCCAACAAGAGGTAATAACGTACTAGACTTAATCTTCTGCCACAATATAAGTCCCCTTTCTACCCTAGTAGGTTCTGAGTTTTCAGGGAGTGACCACAAAACAGTGCTGTGTGCACTGCCACTTCCGTCAAGTAGCAATGCAACCCATACCCCTACTTCACAACAAATAACTTACAGGAACTACAGTAAGGCAGACTGGACTCTAGTAAAATCAATGCTAAGATCCTCAGAATGGAGTGAGTACTTCTATACTGATAGCCTCTCGAAAGCTCTAGACATCTTTTACTATAACTCCAACACATGCTTAGATGCTGTCATCCCATTTCAAACACTAAAGTTTTCCCCACATAGAAAGACATTCATAAAGCCAAAGTATCGTAGGAAACTGAAAAGACTGTCAACAAGTTACTTCAGGCGACACGACTTTAGTACACTAGGGTCAATACTTAGTACTCTTAGCTCCATCTCGCAAGCTCATAACTTGCGTATGAGAAATGAAGAATGCACGGCACTAGCCAGCACCACCACAGTAGGTGCTCTCACAGAAATACTAAAGAAACGAATGAATCGCCAAAGCCATAAAATTTCTCTCCTTATAAACAAGGGCAAACTATACAGCAACCATGCAGACATGTGTGAACTGTTTAATGAGACGTTTGCAGCTAACTACCTTAAGCCTACAAGTCCACTTCTCGGTTTACAATCTAAAATAGAACTCCCTTCATCTTCAACGCTGAAACAAATCACTACAGTTCATTTCACTTACTCTAATATTAACCAAGCCGTTAATACTCTTAAAAGCTCTAGTAGTGCCGGTTTTGACGGCATACCATCGTATCTTTATAAACACGGTGGTTCTGACATTTCCGTTTTATTACTTAAGATTTTTACAATGTCCCTAGAAAGCCAAACCTATCCAGATAAATGGAAAACGACATTTATAGTACCTAAACACAAATCCGGATCAAAAACTGAAGTCAACAACTATAGGCCAATCAACATTACACCCATAGTATCTAGAATCATTGAAAGAATAGTTAAAGATGATATCCTCAAACATATGCTCAGCTGCAATATTCTAAGTCCAAACCAACATGGATTCCTAAAATCCAGATCATGCATGACATGTCACCTTGACTTCTTTAACTATATAACTAGCAGCCGAGACAAACAACAACTAGTACTAGTCATCTACTTCGACATATCCAAAGCCTTTGACCGCGTTGACCATTTGCTTCTAATAAATAAGCTAAACTCTTTAGGAATAAGTAACCCATTATTAGGATGGATTGAATCATTCCTTAACAATAGGTCCCAAGTAGTTAGACTGGGTTCTGTAAACTCTAAACCTAGTCCAGTCACTTCTGGAGTAGTTCAAGGTAGCGTCTTAGGCCCCCTCCTATTCACTCTATATGTCAACGACATATGCAGCTGTTTCTCACTTGGCAAACCATTCATCTTTGCAGATGATCTTAAAGTAGCTTACACATTCCACTGTGATGACTTAGGGTACTTTCAGAAAGCTGTTCAGGAAGAACTAGATCGAGTAACCGCATGGTCCTCCACATGGAACCTAAAATTCAACCTTAAAAAATGTGGTTGGATCTGTTTCGGTGCACCCTCAATAAATATTAAAGTGGTACTTGAATCCATTGACTTGCCTAAACTCCAAAGTGTTGTTGACCTAGGACTCAGGTACACTAGTGACTTGACATTTTCTGAGCAAGTGGCGACACAGACGCGTAAATCGAGGATGCTCCTAGGATGCATACTCAGGATTTTCCACAACTACGAGGCGAAGCTATTATTATATAAAACTTGTGTCAGACCACTACTTGAATATTGTCCATTTATTCTCAGCAGCACTCGCGTAAGTGACAAACTTAAAATAGAAAGTGTCCAACGATACTTCACGTCTAAACTACTAGGATTTGACTGCGAAAAGGGCTACACATCAAGGTGTATAACTCTAGGTATCGACCCACTCTGGATAAGACGGCTGAGCATTAACCTAACATTCTTCTTTAAAGTCTTGCATAAAATATCATTCTCAGACAGCAAGGAGATACAGTTCTCACCGGAAGGCTCTTACAACCTTCGTAACCAAACGTGCACAGTATCTAGGAAAAACTGTAAGACAGCACTCCGTGCAAACTTCTTCATAGTCATGTACTCTAAGATCTGGAACAG